TTTAAGGTTCCCAGACGTCACTTGGTGTCACTTAACTGTCGAACACACCAAGTGCCTGGTAGAAGGCGTCTGCAGAAACCCTGTTAACGACGTAGAACACAATCAACAACTGCTGCGAGTAATGTCCGGGTGACGTCCACAGGATATGACCAGGTCTTTATAGTCGGTGACTTTAATGCTCCAGTTCTCAGTCTTGGGCCGGACAGGGTAACCTCAAGCCTAAGGTCCGACCGAAACCTACTCAACCCTATCCAAAAGACTCGGCTGCACGAGGATACTGGTGGTGACATTCGCTGAGAGTCGGGCGGGAAACCGTTCAGACTGCACCACCTTTTTACGAGCGACCTCCTACTGGTAGTAGTGGTAGTGCTCGATCTGGTGTTCAACGAACAACTACCACTGGAGGAAACATGCCCTTGTCATAGCTGCAGCAAGCAAACTACGTGGCGATGAACCGGTATACATCGACGGCACCATGGCCTCAAGAGTGGAGTAACCTTTTGATTGATCCACATTGGGAACTAGTTGAAGATGTCATCAGGAGGGCTACCCCTGAAAATTCCCCAGAAATCACAGCAACACCAAGGGAGCAAACCCCATGGCTTAAGCGAGACACTGAAGGCCCTTTGAAAGACAAGAGGAAGGCATGGCATAAGTGGAGGACCCCTAGAAAAGCATGAACACACCACGTATGTGGCCATAATAAATCAACGCAACATCAAAGTGAGGGAAGACAGAAAGTCGCTTCGGACAAGCCTTGCCCAGAGGTTCGAGGCAAACCCCAGAAACCTATATTGATTTGTGGCAGGTAGAAAATCAACCAGCCAGGGGGCTTGCATCCTGAAAAATCCGAATGGAGCAAACCCCTTTGAACTAGTGATCGCCGGAGCCTATAGTGCCGCCCTCGGCACTCAATAGAATACGTCCTTATCGAAGCAAAGTTGACAGCTGTCCGACCAAAATTCAGCACCACCAAATGCAGTAGAGTTACCTGAAATGAAGGTAACTCCTGCTATGGTCCCCAGAAAGCTATCCAAGCTCCGCGTGGGAAATCACCAGGATCCGATGACATCCGGCCGGCCGTGTTGAAACAACGCCCAGGTGCCTTGCGCAGCCCACTGCGTAATCTGTTTCAACACTCCTTAGACAATCATATGCCTCCACGAGAGTGGAAGCGTGCTCTTCTGTCCCCTACCTCCAAAGGAGGAGATAGGCAGAACCCAAGATCCCACCGACCCACAGCCTTTCCACCAATGATGTCAAAAGTAATGGAGAACCTGGCAGACGCCCATGTCAGAGAGTACTTGGAAAGGAGGGACACACCAGGTGATGCCCAACATGGCCTCAGAAAGGGTAGGTCCTGTGCCTCAAAAATTTTGGCGGCCGGTAACAAGTAGATGGCATGTTGGGACCTCCAAATTCTTGTCCATGTCATTTTCCTGGATTCTGCTAGGGCCTTTGATACAGTCCGGCACGCCTTTCTTGTTCACAAGATATCAAGGTTGGGCATCAAGGGTCAAGTGGTCTCCTGGCTACAGGACCATTTAGGCGACAGACAGTTCTGCACAAAAGCCAACAGAGTTTGCTCGACTTGGAGGACACCATCATCTGATGTATCACAAGGAGCAATTCTGGGTCCGCCGCCATTCCTTCTTTTTGTGAACTACCTCCCACTGAATCTCAGCCCCTTACTTCTACTCTACACTGACGATGTTAAGTTATGTAGAGCTGTGACGTCGGAAGCAGAATCAAGTGCATCGCAAAGTGACCTCAGGTTACTTGCAGAGTGAGTGGATATTAACGGACTAGCATTTAATCTGGATAAGTATCGAGCCATGTTTCTCTACACCCCTGGCTCTCAGCAGGTACACCATTCTCTCTACGGAACACAACTTTCCCACACCACCACTGAGAAAGACCTAGGACTAATACAGACTGACAAGCTAGACACTAGCTGCAATTATCCAGGAGACGCCTCCAGAGCCTAGGCAGTACTGCACTTCATGAGCAGACAACTAGGTGCCCTGACCTTGGAACTCTTTTTGAAGATATACAAGACCCACATATGACCTCACTTAGAGGTCCACACCACCATATCTGAAAAGAGATGTGGACCTCCAAGAGAAAGTCCAAAGGTGCACTACAAAAGGGTGTCGTGGGAATGGGACGAAGACGCTATGAACACAGGCTGGAAGGTCTAGGACTCTGCTCTCTAAGCCACCGTAGATTACGTGGTGACTTGATAACGGCTTAAAAAACACCAAGCGACCCAAGTCATCCGAACAGTGGAATCCTACCGAACGGCCACTATGGTGATCCTCGTGGTAACCCAAGGAGAATCACCCATCAAAGGGCAGAAACCTGTGTGCGGTCACACCTATTCCCTCTGCGAGTTTGCGGCCAGTGGAACGCATTGCCTGCCAAGATTGCTACTTCTCCGTCTGTTGATAGCTTCAAGAAGAGGTTAGACAGTTACGCGGAGACCCATGGTTTGCGCTCATCCAGCTGGGATATGGGCTAGGCTGACACGACCTACTAACTCGGTACGACTAACCCATTATCGAATACTTTGTAACACAACTATCACTGAGAACTTGGCTCAACCTTGTACTTCCCCATGGACGTCCCCTCAAGTTACCGTCTCCTACTAACGGAATTACTATCTCTACTCCCATAAGCTGTCCTCTAGTGTCGTTTGCTCCTCTTCCTACTGACCATACGATCCCTTTTTCCTAATCGTCTTTTTCTTTTCTTTTACATTTGTTTTTCTTTGCACGTTCTCTCCTTTGATTTCTCTGGACATATTTGCCATCTCCTTTTTGCAACCAGTCCGACCAATCGTCTGCTGGCACGATACTTGAGAAACTTGTAGCGTCACACACTTCCCCCAAATCAATAGCCTGGGGTTTGAAGGTTTGATAATGCCGAGTTCGAGCATGTGGTCAAATTCGCTTTTCACCGTTTTGAACTTATCAAGGGCTAGGCGCCTTGCTTTGGATGCCACAGGTGGGCCTGTGTTTGTGACGTGATGCATAACATTGCTGGTTATGCAGGGAAGAGTATGCTCTAGTTGTTGCAACTCTGGATATTTCTCCAAAACTGCCTGGCAGGATGCGTCACCTGATTGTTTGGTTCGAACGATGGCTAAACTCGGATCTACGAAGGTGGTGCCGCCGATAGATAACTTTGTGCTGTTATCTATCAGACGTCGACGGCAAGCAACTATGAGTAAATCGTAATGGTTTAGCAAATCTATGCCAATGATGGGCATAGGAACGTCGGCAAGAAGGAAAATCCAGTGAATGGGTTTATGTAAATGTAAGTTGAGGTAGGCATACTGTCTCCCAAAAGTCGCGATTGCCTCGCCGTTGGCTGCCTGGAGATTGAAGGATGGGTCCAGATGACGCTCTTTCATCGGTGCGGGAAGAACGTTAACTTCTGCACCGGTGTCGATGAGGTGGCCAGCTTTCGTTTTAATATCCGTGACGTAGAGCGAACGGCTGTTTCCGCCTGCTACGGTCGCCGTGAACACGTGTCAGCGTGACAGTTTCCCGAGTCTGTGTCTATGTTGAAACTGTATGGCTCCCGGCATTTTCTGGCTTCTTCCCAGTGAGTACTGTGAAGCCAGCAACACTTAGGGTTTTCCACCCTGTTAGGTCTAGTTTTCGGACAACCACACGAGTTGCCGCGATGCGCTAAAATGCGTTTGTTTGGAGTGCTACGTAAACTAGGACTTTGAGATAGTAGAAACTGTTTAACAGAAATGCACAGCTTGGTCACCTCTGAATCCTGTCTCTCTGGTTTGTCGCAGACAGAATGTACATTGGTAATGGTTCTGCTAGAAATCTCCAGTATTTTATCTGCCGAGGCTGCCAGGTCATCGAGTGGGACTGACCGCAGTGTTACCAACAAGGCTTGCACCGGTTGTGGTAGTTTTGAGAGAAAATGGCTCTCGGAAAAGGCCATTGTCAAATGTTCGTGCACCCATAACTTCCCGCATGCGTGCGAGGACTTCAGTAGCTGAGTGGTTGCCTAGCTCGATGTTACGAAGCAAATTGTCTAGGCGCTGGCGATCCGTGAGATCGCTTTTCCTCGAGAGTGAGGCCTTGAGAAGTGCATAAGGATCACTTACTTCAGGACTGCACATATGAGCTGCAATATGCCTGTTTAATTAACTTGGTAGTGAATGTATGACGACAAGAAATCGAGAATGAGGATTTGCGACTCCCTGTTCCAGAAAATCTGCCTTGGCATACAGAAGCCATGTTTCCGCATTGCCTGGCAATTATGCAACGAGTTGGATAGTGTTCGTAGTCGGCTTAATGCGGACAAGCTTGGGAGTATGGTGGGACATAGGAAGGAGTTGTATGTGCATATATAAAGGTTATCAAAGTGAAAGAAATGTGCGGATATAAAATGGAACCGGTTCACCAATTCAATATTTGTTATTGGTCGGGATATGTTATCACGTCGAGCTCATCAATTTAGGAATTGTCCTGGTGCCAACTTGACAGACGCAAAGGCCAATCACTAATTATTTGAACTTGCAATATACCCTCAATACGAGACCAAGGAAGAACATGAGAGCGTAGTCGGATGGAACAGTATATTTGAGTGGTTGTGCCAAGACACGAATGTGGCCCAACTAACTGGCTAGGGAGTCGATTAAGAGCAGCGCAACGGAACACGACAGCGTGCCAAATGGCGAGGATACTTGACCAGGTGCCATCAGCTTAGCGAGTCCAGTTGAACTATCAAGGTCGGCATCAATGTTGATTCTCGTCAAACCCTAGGCTATTGAATTTAAGGAAGTGTGTGACTCTACGAACTCATTTGCACCGCAGTCCTTGAGAGAAAAAAACAAACAAAGAACAACACTTTGTGCTATTGCTTGTATGATGAGTCCCGAATGGTGCGAAATGCGCATCCTGGATTCCATTGCTAGCCACTGCCCATCATTACTATAAAGAACAACACTCCCTACGAAGTTAACCAACATTGAACCGCCAGTCGGGCTAACCAGAGCTACGGCAGTCAGGTTGGTAGACCTACTGTACTGGAGTCCACCGAAGACCTGAAACCGCTCCGCAAGACCTAGAAGCAAGTGCAAAGAAATCAATTGGTTTACCATGGTTCATGAAAACATATTGGATATTGAATTTAAGCCTCATTTATTAATAGCTCCGCTACAGTATGCGTTGGAAATGAGTCGACCAGGTGGCCAATATCTACATTATGCCTATAGTTACCTAAAAGACTACCGGATTAGATATTAAATCTCTTACTTGAGACACGTATGTGGGATTTATTATCAACCACTTTCGACCAAAATAAAAGTAAATGTTAAAGTTAGACGATCATATGACTCATGAGCTGAAAGACACATTCCTGGATGTTTCTTCACCAGAGATCTCTGTTGAGAAGCAAAATGCTGCTGCCAGCCATTCCCGTCAAAATCTAGCTGGCGGGAAAGGAGTCTTTGCCAATTTCTTTGAAGAAATGGCTGAGCCACTTACCTTTCAGTCTTCATTAACAGATGATGGAGCTCATGCTTGTGCTCTAGGAACAGATTATAGACTGTCACCACAGATATGTGATGGGGAGACTAATTTGTCCCCATGTATTCATGACGGAATAAGTCCTATGCAAGCTTTCTATGGTGATAATCCTGATGACGATCTGGAGATTCTCGAACGATATCGTATGTTTGTCAATCAAATGCTGATGCCAAGTTATATGAGGATACAGCGTTTCAGGTGATTCATCAACTTACTATTTTGTTCTGCAAAGTTTATCAAATTGTCATGGTTTCAATGTAGCTAGATCTTTTTTAAATAGCGACATGTGCAGTTAGAATGCTATTTAAGATAATTATTTGAATTAACTTTTCATTAAGCTATAACTCTGTTGCATTTGGTCTGGGAAAAGTTCGAACACTATCGGATCTGTCGCACAAAATATAGATATAAGTAAACTTTGAAGCAAATAAAAATCACAAGTAGACAGGCTGTTCTTGTGCTGTAATGCCAAAATGAACACTTAAAGATTATTGTATGGAGATCCGCCACCTGAGATTTTTTATTTGACATTTCCTCCAAAGAAAATATCAATACATGTTACTACGAGGTTATTTTTTGGTCAGACCTTAGCTGATGATATATAGTTGAGAGTATTCCATACTTTCTGATCAACTGTCTCCTTCATCTTATCAATCCAGATATTGAGATTTCAACTCAGTCTGTATGACAAAAAGGATAGAGATGAAGGATCCTAGTAATATTTGCATTAGCTGGCCAGAAGGACTGACTGGCAAATATTTTATAGCTTAATTTCAATTTTCTGTAGAATTACAAAATAGAAGAAAAGTGGTAAGTAGTGTTTTAAGTAGTTGTAAGAGAAGTTACTAAATCTCCAAATTAAGATACTGGTTGAGTGTAGATGTACAGCTAATGACTGTGAGGTTGTTTTTCATTTTGGAATTTATTACCCTCCTAAAACTAGAGATTTTATCATACCTTACCTTTTTTCACTGTCTTCTTTTTCCCGAAATATGTCAGTAGGCTAAGCAGTCAGATTTGAAAGATAAGGGTTACATATGCGAATCCTGTCCCGTCTAAAGGAGTTTGCATAGTCAGTATCACATGTCCTGAAACAATAGGTGCGGTTCATTGTGAAGTGCATAAATCTGTATGGTCGTTGGGTTGTGTGTGTCTCTATCCAGTCACACAAGGCCGTGTCTGTGCTTGCTTCTCCAATACTACCGTAAAATTGGAAGTTAATACAGCACACTAGTCATACAGATTTGTTCGTGCCAAAGAAAAATTTCCCATTAACTGAATTGGTTTTTGATTGTTTGCTTACATTGTCACCAAATCATCCACAGTGTTAGCAATCAGAAAAGACAACTTGAAACATTACGGTAACTTGTATCAGTTCAGGTTGCCGTACTTCGAATTAATACAAGGAAAATTAATGGAAGTGGAAACGTTAGATTGAACAATTACAAATAGTCTGGCTGCCTGTAATGCCTTCGCAGCTTAAACCTACTTCAGATAACACTGCACAGCAGAATAGGTGATGATTAAGGATGTGTGACATGTCCCGGTCACTTCAGCTAATGAAGGTTCATAACCTCATCATCTGACTTACTTCTCATTCCTATGACCGCCTGACTTCTGTGGTTGTAATGTGGTGGAACCACAACCTATGATCTATTCTACAAAGGCAGCAGTGATCGAACACCTAAGGCCTTCGTATATCCTTTGCCTGTAAGCAACATGTTTCACAGATATAGTAGAACAGAGTGAATTACAGTTCGATACGTCGAACTCTCAACAGACAATCGGATATCACAGTGGTGTCATAAATGGCGTAATTTAACGAAAACTAAGTGAACCTTTTATATCCGTGAAGAGATTTCTTTTTCTGTCGCCGATGCATCAGGGCTGATCTGATTTCTCAGGTGAGTGAAGCAGTCAACGTGCTCATCTATTTCGCTCCCTGTTGTTAGACAGGACACCAGTGAAGCAACAATTCGCATTTGGGTGGTGAGAAATGCATCCCAAATATTCTCAAGTTGTCACTCAAAGTATCCAGAAGATTCTCCATCTAGTCAGCATCTTCACCTAGCAGGACTACGTCATCCATGCATTCTAGATTTATCAAGCGCTCTCATGTGGTAAAATCAATTCATATAAAGTCAGACGACGAGAGAGAGACCTCTACCACCATGTCTACGACATAGTTAAATAAGAATGGATTATGTCTGACTGTGAAAGGAATACCAAACAGTTATGTAACGCTAATAAAAGCTTCCTTACTCATACAACTGTGTACGGACCTATGGAGAGATATCAGAATTGACAACTAGTGGTATTCGTCTGGGATAATTGTTGTTACCTGCCTGGTTTTCTCGAGTTTGCTGTTCTCGACCTCCAGTTATGCGTCGGATAACTGGGGACCCTAGGGTCTTGGGAACAAAATTAAACTAATTCCTTAATAGTTATCACAAGAAAATTTCTCCTTATAGACTGGGGTTGTCAGTAAAGTACGTGATAGCACTACCTCAATTCCCATACACTACTTAGTACCTTCGTCACTTTAAGTAGCGATTTCATACCTCCATCCTTGAAAACTTCAGATGGCAAACTGTCAAGTCTTGGTGCTTTGCATCGTTTCAGGTTTGATACAACTTTCCCAATTTCAAGGAGAGTTGTAGGACCGACAGCTACGTGCCATTCAGGTTCAAGCTGTATGTTGGACAACTACAGCGTTGCTAATGGCTAGTTGAACTGTACTTCAAAGTGTTCTGCTGAACGTTCTAGCCGTTCTAGGAGTTTGTCAGCTCCTCGTCCTTTTTGGTGATGACCTCACTAATCATCCTTTTCTTACTGCCGGTATCCTTAACAACCCTAAACCGTCGCCTAGTGTTACCCAACGCTGATGCCTTCTCCATCTCTCTTGCTTTCGTCACCCACCACTGATCACGATCGACGCGAAGACTCTTAGTCAACTTAAGTTTAAGTTGCTTTCGCTCTTCATTATGATCAGAGCCAGCTGGGATCAGTCTTCTCGCATCAATCATTTTGGATGACGTCGCTGAAATGCATTGACGTCTGTTGACCTTCATGTGTAGGCCACCAATTATCTTTACCACTGCTTCTACAGCAGACTTAATGTTACGCCAGGTTTCCTCAGGATGAGCATTACTGTCATGTTCAGAAAAATGCTCAGCTATCTCTTCCCTAAATTCGGACTTGAAGTTCTCATGAACCATCGACAGGCTTCACTACCTCCTGTTTCTTGCGACCAGTAAGGCACAAACGTACAGGAGCCCGTACTAACGCTTGATCGGAGTCTAAGCTGGTATTCCAGAAAGAGTGACTACCCTCCACCGATTCTCTCCAACAACGGCCAGTAGCAATATAATCTATCTATGTCCATCGTTGGCTTGAAATCGGTGGACGTTAAGTGAGATAGCGTCTCTTCATATGTCTAAAGTTGGTGCTAGCTAGAAACAAGTGGTTGTCGGAGCAAAATTGCAGCACGATTACTGTTATCGGTTCGTTTGCATGGGATTTTGTAGATACCTCCAAGATGCATTTCCGATTGGCTCAGCTTCCCTACTTGAGCTTTGAAGTCACCTGGCATTGTGATTACATCTAAACATTTTGCTTTCTGTAGCAAAGGTAACAGCTTCTCATAGAATTCATCCTTTGCATCTTCCGAACTGCAGTCAATGGGTGCATAGGGGGAGATTATAAATGGGGATCGCCTAGTCTCACGATCCTTCTTAGTCTTTAAAGATCCATTCAGTCAAAGAGCACATAGAAAGCTGTTGACTATTATACAGTCAAAAAGCGCACTTTCTGCTCTACAAATCAATGCTATGCCTACACCAGTGAGTCCCCGAGAGCTGGCCATTGAGTCTCTGGATACCCTTAAGGTGAATTTTAAAGATACTCTACTATGGCCCGGTGAAGTCAATTCAATAACCACACTCGAGTCCTGTATACGTGTCTCACACACAGCATATATCTATGCCTAGAGGTTCCAGAGTTCTGATGAGCGTTGCTTACTGTCCGATTCGGCACAGAGTTCGGATGTGGAAAGCTCCTACATGAAATCGATGTGGTAGTGGTGGGGTCTTACGAAGCTGGGAATGAGGTATCGATGGCTCTGATCATTGACAGTGGTTGCAGAGTAAGAGGTTGACTAAGGCATAAGGAGGAGGAGACAGAATTATGTAGGATAAGTTAAGTTGCATTGGCTCTTGTGTGCTACTCGAAGCGTGCGGACAGTTGATACCTCATACCTGCCCGCAATGTGGAAGGCTATTTCTTCCTAAGGTGCCGGAAAGAGAAAAAGATTTGTGTGACCTCAGAGTGCATAAGACATCTACTTGAGGTGTATCACAGCCTTTGGTGGGTTGTTTTGAGGTCTGTTTGTTTGAACGCCGGATAGAGAAAACCCATACAGCCGGCACTGGGAGACCGTCGGGCATGGTGGAGTATGTTGTTTGGGGGTGACATTTTTTACCCCACCTCCCCTTCAGAGGGGAGCATCAGCGTGGCACTGGTGGTCATCCAGGGGGAACAGCTTACTGCTGTGATACCCCATCCAGCCAGAAATACAACTACATCCTCAGACCCCCATCATAGTGTAGTATACACCACAGCGGTAACTGCTTTTCATCTTATCACTATCAAAAAGACATGGGAGGACCTGGGGGGAACAACGTTCCGCCAACATAGTTCGTTGGATCATCATGATATACAAGCCCCACCACGTCAGGGTAGCAACTATCAGTCAGGTATGAAGGCTTTTTCTCCCAGCGAATCTGACCACATTATTCCCTAGCGTGACTGTCTACATTAGCACGGGACAGTAGATAGCAATAAAGACTGATTGTATTAGAATCGAATGGTGAATGATTTGGTGAAAATTCGGTGTGTTGTTATCAGATGGTGTAGAATATACTAGTAAAACTGTACAGACTAAAATCGCAAACAGAATTCTTGATATATAATGATGAATGAAGCCAGTTGACAATTTTTACTATTGCATACACTACTCTCAGTTGTATGCAACTAAATTAAAATATTAATCATGATGATAATAGTAGTAAAAATAACTTCGTTCCAGACAATATGGTTGATGCAGTGTGTGGCATTCTCAACATTCAATATTTCAACAGATTTATCACTAGCATAATATTTCTTAAGTGAAATAATTGTAGCATCTGAATAATGATAACAATAATAGTGTGATAAGGCAATAACATATAATGACCAGTTGTTGTCAGGTTATCTAGCCTGATGAAGGGAATGAATAGAAAAGCGTACGTAGGTTTAGTGGTGGTAGTAGTTCACTCAGCTAGTAGGGAAATCTGCGATTGGAGCTATCTATGGAATAGTAATATCATGTACTTCAGTGAGCTTAATAACCCCATTGTCATTTACCATGACGCCTTTTATTCATTTTATTGTTAACTTGTGAAATGGCTGGTTTTGAAAACAGTTTTAAAACTGCACGAGATTACATAACACGTCTCCAGGGCATATTTTAATGATTACAACAAGTTGAAAAAGAGTAGTTTGAGATAGTACATATTTGGTGGAAAAGTTTTGGCAGCCCAAAATTTAAACAGGTGGTGGTCTTCTGGCCTCCATTAATTTGGAGATATTCTCTCAGGTTAGCGTTACTTTTGAAACAACTGGAAACTTTTTGTGAATGGGATGTTTGTTTTATTGTTATTTACAATTTATTTGTGCACACATACAACATTTACAATCTAGAAATCAGGTTTTTTTTAACCTTGTGTAGTGCATGTTACCTGTTAGTTTGTCAGTTTAGCCTACCTGAATGCACATCACTTATTTGGTTTGGAGAGAGTGAATTAATGACTTTTATTAGGTAACTAAGCACCACTGGTCGGAACTTGTTAATAAAATTCGATGATCGTATTATTCCATAAAAGAATACCTAGAGTGTGAAGACACTGGTCACTCGATTCAACCATTGTCCCATGTTTTACATAAACTTGTTGTTAGGAAAGTTGGAAAGTGAACATCATTTCAAAACATTTTCATATTACTTATCTGGTTTTCTGTGATTTTTGAACTGTTAGAGTTTTAAATCTTAACTATACTTGTATACGTCCGAATGTGTATGAAATAAAGTAATTCCAATGTTTCACACACAAGTCTGGTCCAAGCTTATTTACCGAAATGATCAAAGATAGAGTATCCTGCCGCTGTCCGAATTTTCATTTCACTTTCATCACCCAGTATCAAGTCACCTGGCATTACATCTAAACATTTTGCTTTCTATAGCAAAGGTAACAGCTTCTCATAGAATTCATCCTTTGCATCTTCCGAACTGCAGCCAATGGGTGCATAGGGGGAGATTATTAAAAAAAAACCCAGAGATATCTCAGATAGTCAAAATGGTAATCCATATATAATGTTCCTCCTCTCTAATTCATTTGAATTGGGATTGAAATGAGAAGTCCTGACTAGGCAGCTAGTGTGAGTACAATGAAGCGTTAGTATGGCGTCACGAATTCATATGGTAGTCGGGCAAAGCCCTTGATGATTGAAGTGAAATAAAAATGTGGTCAGCAGTCGGACCTCGTAGGTCAGTTGGTAGAGTATCGGGCCGAAAACCCGGTGGTGGCTGGTTCGAATGTTGCCGCGGTCGAAATGTTCATTTCACTTTCAATCATCATCCATTATCAAGTATATATCAGTGAATTCAAAAACGCGTACTTAATCTTTTCGTGCAATCTTGTTAGTATAATCATTGCTTGATAGTCGTTCGGTGTGATTATTGATTATCTCTTGCTGTGTGGTCTGTATGTTACTTGTTATTCAACTTCTCCTTCATTGCCACAAAGGCCACTGGTAACATTATAGTCATTTAGTAATTTATTGTGTAATCACAATAGGGTACATGAGGTGGGTAAGCGTTTCATTTCTGTTGGTATGTGAAGACTAATTAGTATTGGCAAATTTTTCATTGAATTCTTAGAATAAAGTGGGAATAAATAGTAATGATAACGGTGATGTCAATAATAGTCCATCAAATCAGTCCAGATTGTATTGTCGTTGTTGATCTAAAGATAATGAAGGTGAGAAGTGGTGAAAGTAAATACAAGAATCGGTCTTTCTGTGTGGTAATAAGTATTTACCAAAAAGCAGCCAACTGTACTCCATCTCGTCTGCTCCAACCATCTGGGATTTCCCATATATGTATGGCATCAGCTGTCAATCTTTCTTGGTATAATCCAGAACGTGAAGCTATAGCTCAGTGGTCTAGAGAAATGACAGGCTCCACTTACCGAGATTTGGGCAACAAGGTATTATCACACGATATGTATGGCTTATTATCTATTGCACAAACGTACACAAGGTTACTGGGTGCGTTTGTAGAACTATGGTTTCGTCAAAATCTATTTTATCGCTCGTTTCTACCGAGTGTTGGACATATATACCAATTTGTTTCTTAGCTTCTTAAGTTGTATTGACGTTTCTAGAATCCGCTTTATACATACACACATACATACATACATACATACATACATACATACATACATACATACATACATACATACATACATACATACATACATACATACATACATACATACATACATACATACATACATACATACATACATACATACATACATACATACATACATACATACATACATACATACATACATACATACATACATACATACATACATACATACATACATACATACATACATACATACATACATACATACATACATACATACATACATACATACATACATACATACATACATACATACATACATACATACATACATACATACATACATACATACATACATACATACATACATACATACATACATACATACATACATACATACATACATACATACATACATACATACATACATACATACATACATACATACATACATACATACATACATACATACATACATACATACATACATACATACATACATACATACATACATACATACATACATACATACATACATACATACATACATACATACATACATACATACATACATACATACATACATACATACATACATACATACATACATACATACATACATACATACATACATACATACATACATACATACATACATACATACATACATACATACATACATACATACATACATACATACATACATACATACATACATACATACATACATACATACATACATACATACATACATACATACATACATACATACATACATACATACATACATACATACATACATACATACATACATACATACATACATACATACATACATACATACATACATACATACATACATACATACATACATACATACATACATACATACATACATACATACATACATACATACATACATACATACATACATACATACATACATACATACATACATACATACATACATACATACATACATACATACATACATACATACATACATACTCTTGGCTCCTTCAGTCTTACAATTACCTATATGTCTCTCTCCCTTTCGTATACTCCATTGAATTCCACGCGTTTGAGTTCATACACTCAGTTGATTTTCATTCGGTAATACATCTTTAACCTTCATTAAGACAGAATATAGAGAATTTGTTGCGTGGAGATATATCTTTATGTCATATTTGTAAGGAATTCATCTTATTTTTGCCAACGTCTCCTTAAGAAGATATGGAATTAGAAGTGTCGATTTATTTTATCGTAGGGATTTCCGGTACATTCTTAATTTTGTTGTTTATTAAAATATTCCTTCTACAAAATGGTTGTGATAGTTATTTGCTTCAAGCACACAGAAAAGTGGCTTTCACTCTTTGATTGGTCACCAAAGAGTAGCCAACTTCATGTTGTCTAGTCCTGAGTATAGACCGAATTCTATCGATCATTTTGTAATGTGGACACCAGACTAGGCAGCTTGGCGTCGCGATGCACTTTGATGGATGTTAGTTGGATGGAGACAATCGACAGGAAGCCCTGGACCTAGGTTTCCTGCTTGTTGGCACTCATCAGCAAGGCGTATCTGCAACCCTTCCACTCTTCCTTTTTATTCTCTTACATTGTAACAAGACGATTAGCTGTGTTGATCAGATTTCGAGCGCGTATTACTTTCTTTATCAAAAGGATGGATAGATTGATAATCTGTGCATATACCAGACTGTTTTGATTTTCTAAAAACTTCGCTGGTATCACTCCATCGTACACTCCGTAACAGCTCATTTTAGTAAATTGGATTCAACATATTTGATGAAAGTAATACTTCCACACTCGTTATTTATATATTGAAAAAGTTCATCCCGAATCCAAACGAATTCTTCACTCCATATTTTAATCCCTCTTTTTATGGTTTTAATACTTGAGATATATACGTTCATTTTTACCATGTGAGATAGCTGTAGTTTGCCAGACTAGTATTTATACTGGGTGATGATTGAAGGTGAGATGGAAATTTGGACCATTGCCGGATTCGAACCAGCAACTACCAGGTTTCGGCCGGCTGCTCTACCAAGTGAGCTACGAGGTCTGACTACTGGCCAGATTTTTATTTCACTTCAATCACCATTGGTTTTGCCCGACTACCATGTGAATTCATGATGAGAAGTCCTGACTATGCAGCCAGTCAGAATATGATCAAAAGGTAGTTAAGGCGTTATGAATTCACATGATAGTTGGGGAAAACCCATGATGATCGAAGTGAAATGAAAATGTGGTCAGCAGTCGGACGTCGTTGCTCAGTTAGTACAGCATCGGACCGGAAACTCGGTGATGGCTGGTTCAAATGTTGCCGGGGTCAAAATTTTCATTTCACCTTCAATCATCACCCAGTATCAATACTAGTCTGCCAAACCACAGCTATCTCATAGTCAAAATGATAAGTATTGAGAAACGTAGAGAAAAACGTAATTTCTCTTTTATACATTATACGAGGTTCGTAGTTTCAACTCTGATTTAGACCAGTATTAATTAACATGTTCCTTCGCCTTTTTCTCGTAGTCATTTGAGTTCCTTTTCTTTGTGGTAATTCCTTTATCTACTCTGTTGATGATAATAGTTTTATCTTTGCTTAACTATTTCATAAGAGACAGTTTCTCTTTATTTATGTTTTATTTATTAGTCTTCTGACGTAATCATGTACTTGCTACCTTGTATTTAACCTTAGTCGTTTCCTCACGTGATATTCTTTTTGAAGTTAATCCCATTGCCAGGGCAATTTCGAAAGCTAATCGATGACATAGTTTCTGTTCAGATTAACCCTTCTGAAGGAAGAATATTTTATATTCAGAAAGATTCACTGCCATCTTGTTTATGTCAGGGTTATTAGATTGATTTCCAGAGTACTGGGATTTATGACATGGTTTTTTTTCAACATTCGTACCAACTTGTTAGTATTTCCCTTTTTGGATGTTTCTTAGAACAGTCCATACTTCGTTTCACCTCTGTTGAAACATATAGGGATAAGATGTCATGAAGGATTTTGATGTGTAAATGAAGTATTACAGGTGACTCTGAATCAGTTATTTTAGTCGTATACAATAAAATGGTCAGGTTGTCTGATAATTCCATGTTGCGTGTGAGTAGCCTACTACCACCTACTATAGCCATCCTTGGGTAATAAGTTTTGGAGTTCATTGATATTTCATTTTAATTATTTTCGTCAAGGAGCTGGTACCAGACTTATATGCAAAACACTAGAATTATTTCATGTTAAATATGCTTACTTGTATCGTCAACTTGTCACTTGGTCCCCTTTATTTGCCAGATTATTTTGTCAAGCCTCGATCAAAGTCCATATATATGTTACAGTTTTAGATTCATCTTAGTGGCTAGCAGTGGAATCCAAGACACGCGTTTCGCCAGTCAGCAGGCTGTACCTCCACTCCAATGGGTATTGTTTCCACCTAGACTCGAACCCCAGGAAGTACAAATCATGTGCAGACCAAATTGCAACGCTTCGCATCATCATAGAACAGAGTATAGAGTGGCAATCAACTCTACACCTCAACTTTATCGACAGCGTCGACCGAGAGGTAATTTGGAAACTGCTTCAATACTACGGAATATTGCAAACCTTCATCAGCCTCATTCAACAACTATATGAAGATGCCACATGCCAAGTAATTCACAATGGGAAGCTCAGTGATGTTTTTGAAGTGAAGCGAAGACAGGAGTGAAACAAGGTTCTCGCCTACTATCCCCCATGATATTCCTGATTGTGGTCGACTCCACTGGACTGGATCATGTAGCAAACAGTGGGGAGCTGTGAAAAGAGGGGATACGCTGGCTGGACTGCGGAAAAGAACCTAGAAGATCTGGATTTCGCCAGTGATGACTTGTGCCTGATGTCACACAAACTTGAAGATCTATAGGCGAAAACTAACAAGTTGGTAGAAGAGACAGCGGAGACGGGACTTCGGGTGAATATAGAGAAGACAGAAGTGATGAAGATACCGCACCAACAACCCAACAACAACAAACTGCAATCACCATCAATGGGAGAAACTTAAAGGAAGTAACCTCCTTCACCTATCTAGGAAGCACTGTCTCAACTACAGGTGGCACAAACGAGGACGTCAAAGTCAGGATCGGAAAAGCAAGACAGGCGTTCATTAGCCTGAAACCAGTGTGGAGATCTTCTGCACTCAGCATGTGGAACAAGATCCGGATTTTCAACACCAATGTCAAGTCAGTGCTTCTGTATGGTTGAGAGACTTGGCGTGTTACGAAAGGCATTTCCAATAAACTACAGACATTCATCAACAACTGATTACGCTCGCTAGTGAAGATCAGATGGCCAGAAAGAATAAGCAACAAGGAGCTCTGGGAACGAACCAACCAAGAACCTATCACCCAACAAATATGTAGTAGAAGGAAGTGGAGATGGATTGGGCATACACTGAGAAGGCCGACTGGGGACATCACGCGTCAGGCCAGTTGCTCGAGTGGAATCCTCATGGGAAGCGACGAGTTGGGCGTCCGAGGTGAGGGCGACATGGAGGAGATCGTGCGAGGAGGAAATGAGAGGTTGTGGGCTGTCGTGGAGACAGGTTCAAAAGATTTCAGAGAACAGAGTGGAATGGGGACGTGCTACTGAAGCCCTGTATTCCATTAGGAACCCAAGGGACTAATAATAAATAATGATAGACTAGAACCCAGTACCCATCGCTTCAAACACCAAAGTGTTACCCACTAGGCCACAGAGGCACAATAATCACCTCTTTTTAAATGTATCACTTGTTATTTTGATAATTATGATTTCCTGCTGCTATACAAGGGCGAATTGCTTGACCTCTGTTACTTTTATTGGAATTATCCTTAATTGTGATATCTGGCTCCTTGTTATGACCAGTAAAAATAATCCTTTTACCGTTGTTATCAAGGATGGTTTACAACTAGCTATTGACTAGAGTAGTAAAATTAATCGCGGAATGCATCGTCTGAAGTATTTAAAAATACTCATGAAAAATAATCCGTTGTTTTAGTTTTCTTTAGACGTTGTGTTTCGTTGACTCTTTACTTCTCATTTATTGATTTGATTTCTCAACTCTTATTCATTGTCATGCCTATCACATCTTCACTTTCATCTCGGAAGCTGAAGGTCATCTGTTCGACCTGAAGCATGCAGATGACATTATTCTGCTGGGGAAGGACGCTGTCAAAATGTAGGGTCTTCTGGATGCATTGAGCAGAGATCTAAATATGTTTGACATGCGTTTCGCTTGCACCTGTCAAATATGAGATGATGGTTCAGGACTAGCCTGCTGCAAGTACTCGCAGTTTAATGATAGGGAGTGGTGGGGTAGAATGTGTCAACCAATCCACTTACTTGATGAGTTGCATCAACACCAACGGGTTGGTTGCTCATGAATTTTTAGCTCGGATACAAAAGGCCCGTTCGGCGTTTGTCAGCTTGCGTCATCTGTGGCGCCGACTGGCGAGATATCCAACTATCTGTCAAAGGACGAGTATATTACGCTGTAGTTTGTTGTGTCCTGTACGGCTGTGAAACATAGCCGTTAAAAACAGAAGACATGAAGCGGTTACAAGTGTCTTCGTAGCATTTCTGGCAGTGTTGAGGTCAGGCGAAGGGTAATAGGCGAGACAGGCACGTTGATTGATGTGGTTTTGAACCTCCATCGACTGAGATGGCTTGGATATGTACTACTCATGTTGAGCCCACTACCTAACTTGACGTAGCATGCTAGGGGAAGTTGGATTAGGATGTGAGAGGGTTCAAGGTGGCCTGACGAAGATGTGGCATCAGTCGAGGAAACCCCTAATGTTTGGTCTAAGACGTGTTGAGAGATGTAGACTGCTTGGGTTGGGTCCCCGAGACGATGGGAATCAATAGCTGAGAACTCTCAGTCGTAGTGGCCCAGATAGAGTCACTCTTTGATATCTTCTGAAGCTTGAATATTTGGACTAACCTTAATTTTCGAGTTGCTTATTCTCTCACACAACTTATTCTACTTTGTTATCAGCATTTTTCTATCCACCTGTTCTTTGTGTACTTCTATGAAGTGTGGGAACTTGAGCCTATGCACTTATATGCGAGCACCCGCGTTGATTTCGTCAGTCAGTCAGCAGTTGAGGTGCGGGGAGCAGTAGTTTTGTTATGTATGTGCTTCATACCTTCATATGGGATCGCACAGCTTAATGGTTGTTTTATTTGAGTTATGGTTGGGTTGTTCACACAATTAATCGTTATGATTTCTCACACACCACTCTATTTACCTATTTTAGGACAATCAAGTGATATGATGCAACTCGGTAACCACGTGCAAATTGATGTACTTTACAATGATAAGTGGAGTAGTGTTCAAATTTGTGACTTACCTAGCACATAGATGAACAAGTTTTTGTGACTATTAATTTCTGCTTATATTTTTAATGTATTGACCAGCTTTTTTTATCATATGCAGTATGATATTAGTTTGTTATTCGGTTTCTCTTTACACTCCGATTTTCTTGAATACAGTTGGATCGTTCAACGAATGATGATACACTAAAATGTGGTTCACTGTCCCGTGTTGTTACTGAATACAATCCAACTGATTTGAGCAGTCAATTATGTATTTCATATATACACAGAAGTAAACCACCAAAAATCCTAGCCAATCGTTTTCTACTTGGTTCTACAATTGGACGAGGAAGTTATGGAAAGGTAAACGGTTTTTTCCCACTATGAATCATTCATATGTTGATAATGCAATAATGTTTTTACCAATGTTAATCTCTCTCGTTTTTAAACTCACAGGTCAGTGGAACATCCAACTGTCTGTTAAAAAGGCGAATATACTGTGCTACAGTTTACACCTCTGCGTTGACCATTGGAAGTAGAGAAATATGAAAAGAGATTACATACTTTTGACCACAAATCTCTATGGCATTGCTGACATTGAAATCACCATGTGAACAGTGTTGAGGTCAGGAGGATGGTGATGAGCAGGCAAGTTAGTCGATAAGGTTATGAAGCTGTGGTGGGCATGCCGAACCGGCGCTCATTTCAACATGTAATGTTAGCCGAAGTAGGAGTAGGTTGAAAGAAGGCATTTCGTCAGTCCATGAAGTTTGTTACTGTTGACTTCAAGCGCGTAAAGAGGCGTAGATTGCATGACTGGAGTTCATGACAGGATAAAAATCAATGATTAAAGATTCTTGGTTACATGGTTGAACATTGATCATCTTGATCCAGATGTCATCTTTGAAGTCTTGTTTTCATCGACCTTCCTATATTTATTCTCTCCTCTTGTACACTTGTGTCTATCACTCTGTTTCTGTCCATTTCTTCTTTAAATGTTGTTGTGAAATGCGGACTAATGCGATTCCATCAGCATTTCTACGGTGATTTGTCTGTTTATCTCTCTTTTAAAGTGACAGTCATATATAGATTGTCATTTTGATTGAGATAGCTGTGGTTTGCCAGACTAGTATTTATGCTGGGTGATAATTAAAGGTGAGATGAGAACTTGGATTACCGCCGGATTCGAACCAGCGATGGCACGATGCCCTACCAAGTGAGCTACGAGGTCTGACTACTGGCCAGATTTTCATTTCACTTCAATCACCCCGTAGGTCATTTGGTACAGCGTTGGACCAGAAACTCGGTGATCGCTGGTTGGAATCCGGCCGCGGTTGGAATTTTCATTTCGCCTTCAATCATCACCCAGTATCGTCTACCAGGTTATGTATAAAATCTACTTTACAAGTACTGATGACGTAGCTAAATCAGTTTCAGTAAACAGACAGATTCCAACACACACACACGACTTATTGTTTAGAAGTTAGATATCCAGACCGGTAAGCCACATCTTGTCAATTGACTGACTAACTGGAGGCAACATAAAACGCATCATTCAGTAGAAGCTGTATATAAATTCATGATTCCCATTGTGACATCAAAAACAAAGAGACTCTTATCAACGAATTCATTCTCAAGGCATACATTCGCGTGCATAGATATGTATGATATTTAAAGACTATAATCCGTGAGGAAGATTCCTTTTGAATAATGGTAGGAATGGTAGTAATAGTGGGAATAACGTCACTCACTAGGTGGCAGGTACTTCTAGCTGACGAGTCCCGAATAGGACGAAACGGCCCTCGTGGATTCCACTGCTAGCCACTATCCGTTATTAATTTAAATAATGGTTGGTTGAAATAGCAATTATGGTGATTATAATTATAACCATTTTTCTAGTCGATGACGTAAACGTTGAGTGATAATAAAAGGGGGTTACATAAGATTTTTTTTAGGTCGTTTATAAGGTGCATATAATTTACAAAAGGGTGAAAACGTGGTAGACTTAGTAAATAATCAAAGGATAAGATAATGTGAATGAGACAACAGGTTAATTCATCCGTGATGAATACTACCTTAAAATTGAAATCCCCATTCATCTCAAGAACACATTGATGTATGGTGCTCATTAGTGACATGTTTCCAGATGGATATCATGAAGTTCTAATAAGAAACCGTGACCTGTGGAGTCAACCAGTCGGAAGAGAAGAAGATGCCATCTGAAGATTTTGGGTGTTAGTCGTGGTATATGCATGAATCGACAGAAGTTGGGAACTGTGAACCATTGAACTCCGACCTAGTGGCTGAATGGTTGATGCGTTCGCCGTGGAACCTGGAGGGGTTGAATTCGACCTATAGCCGGGTTATGGGTGCGTTCTGCTGATGAGTCCTATACTAGGACGAAACAACTGGCTGTCCAGTGCTCCCTAACTGATGTCAGTCCATGATGAATACTACCTTTAAATTAAAATAACCATTCATCTCAAAAATACAGAAATTGAAAGTGTTTTGAGAAGATTAAATGACGTAACACTGAAAACTATTAACTATAACGATGATCGTGATGATAACGATGTCGGAGTGCAAAATCTAATCTAGCAGAGGAGTAGATTCAGAAAAGAAATGAAACAAACCAAAGCCAAGGTAGAAACATAGACTGTACGTACTTCTTTTTCCCACAAATGTCAAGTTTCAGTTCATAGACAGCCAAAATCTCTGCTACTTTTAGAAGTTGAAGGCAGAAAAAACGTGAGATGTTTGAGAAAACTCGATAGATGATAACCTTCGGTCGGTTGAATAGCTGGAATCGATTAAATGTTCAAGGATAGAAGTTTTATAATGGATTTTCTTTCACCCTGATAATACCAGGCTGAAATATATCCTCTGACTTCGACCGATGTACGTTGCTTCACGAGAGCAGGTGAACTGATGGATTCACATAAAGATGACCTGTCTTCACATACAGAGAGCAATTTACGGCTAGTAAAGGTCGATTGAAGTTTGCCTACGAGATCTCAAGAGATATTTGATGCTATATACCACCTTTAAATTCCAGATTGATGAACAAAGTTTTTTTTTTAGAAACTGAGTTAATAGGAATAGCTGATTCCAATTCCCTGTCTATGACGAATTTCAACGCTCTTGTGTAGAATGTCATTTAGATCGATAGTCTGTATATGGTCATATTTTTCTAACTTTGAAAACAGTTCAACGTAGAATAGACATTAATAGAGGTGAAATGTTAAAAATGACTAAAGAGAATAATAGAGGGTGCGGAAGGGACAGGAAAGGATAAAAAGGTATAGAATAATTAAATTTTCAATCATCAAAGTGATTTAAGCATCAGGTCGGTCTGTGATGTTTCTTTAAACTCATATCTCATTCGTTCTCTATCCACTAGTTTTTATGCTATAGCATATAAACTCCAACTAACAAGAATACTAGTCAGTTATAACAATAAATATTCAGGTGATATCGAGGCATTCACATACGAGTTGATATGCCAATATAGGTTGAACAATTTGATGCTGTATAACAGCGTAGAATTAGAAATATACCAACAAATAGTAATGACTAATACTCAATGTACAAGGGGTGATTATCGCTCCTCCATGGCCTAGTAGATAACGCTTTGGCGTTTGAAACGGTGGGTACGAGGTTCGTGTCTCAGTGGGAACCACATCACTCCTCACTGGGGTAAAGGTGCATCCAGCTGACTAGTGAGTCCCAAACAGGAAGAAACGCGCTTCTTGGTTTCCACTGCTAGCCACAACCAAGTCAATTATAAGAATACAATTATTTTTGCATCACTATTCAAAATAATGGGTAGGGAATTTGTGATATATTTTCTTGAAATTCTATCCCTTACACCCTGATTTGCATCGGACGTGTTGATTCAAATTGTCAATCTCAATAACTGATTTACTTTCCTTAAAATGTTTTTCAGAATTTCAACATTTCTCATTGATTGTTTTTACTCAGTCCCATTTATGATATAAACGTGTCGCTAGGCAAATCACAGATGAGATCATTTGTGCATCACAACCGTCTAAAAGGAAATACACCATAACCTGGTCGATAACATTCGATCATCACATAAGACTAGACATGAAATTGGTTCCTATCCAGTAACTAATCACTGTCTCGAATCCAGTCTTACAGGAAGTCGGTGTCAGTCTAAGTAGCTCATTGGTTACATCTTTGACTACGGAACTGGATCACACTTGTTCGAATCTCTTAGGAAGCATCAATTTCCTAGTTAATGGTGTATTTTATGTGTCACTCTCTATGGAAAATATTTCTCCAACCTTACTCTTTAAATGAATTGACCCATTTCAGCCTCCATCGTCATATCTATGCGAAGATTTAGTCAGTAGTTAATTTACTGTGACGTAATTTTGACTGCAAGTGTTTGACGTCACCTCTGTACAGTCATGGAACTAGATAATCTGACACATATATACATATCATTTGACTATCTGAGATAGCCACAGTTTGGCAGACTAGTATTTATACTGCTCAATAGCCGTAACTATGTGTTTACTTTGAAACTAAGGCATTCATCTATTTTGTAAAGACTAGTGATACTGCCTGACTACTCACAGCTGTGAGTAGTTTTTCAAACTGCCCAACTGTGGTGTCAACTACTCACATATTAGAAGTGTTAGTGTGAACTGTCAAAAATTTAAATCATCTGGAAATTGATTATCCTGTTGAAGGTATACCGGTCCATGCAACTCAGCTGGCCAAATTCCAGTGATCTGAACTAATTTGGCTCTATGACCTGAATCCCTTCGAGTGCACATTGGCTCCAAACGACTGAAACGCATATGTGGTATTTAGATCACTCTGATCTGGTTAGTGAAATACTACAAATAAACCTAAGTGGTTTATAATTAATCAAGTTGTTCAGTCGTCGTATCCTTTGCTCCAATTTCAGTTGGTGGGACGGACTTCGAACATGTAACTCACTAATGAAAAGTTGACTGCCTAATTCAGTTAACCTTAAACAGCTTAACGGATGATGTATCGTTTGAAGGAAAATAAAAAAAGCATCAGATTTTGATATTTAAAACCCAACTAATGAATGAAATGCATAATTTATATCATGTTATATCACCAATCAATCTGAAGTCACCACTTAAAGCCTCTTAGATCCACGCCTTATGGTGATGATGATAAAAATGGGTACCTAAGAAGTATTTACTACTAGTAAAGAGTTAATTGGTTGGAGGCAATTGGCATAATGCCTTGTACCTACGTTTCGTACTTGTTGACAGTCGTCAGTAAGGTGTATGTACGACCTCATGGGAACTAATATCTATGATATTCAAACCCATATCACCTAGTACGGTAGTTATTTG